TCAAGTAAATTGGAATTCCGCGGCTGCTTGGCAACGGCCGTGGAGGTGAAATTGAGCCTTTAGGTGGCCGTGTCGGCGCGGTCTACCATCGCAATTGGGTCGTTACCGGGAACGGATTAATTAATGAGCATTCAGTCGGCCGCCATCTTTGATTTTTTTTTATATACGTGCATAACTCTATTGGGATCAGAACGAGGCACTTGTCCGGAGTAAGCCGGTGCTTAGGCCTATTTATGGGTTTTTTTTCTCTATTTCTCATAATTATCATTGGTCATTTAAATTTAACAAGACTATAATGTAAACATGGAAAACAGGGTGACGCCATCTTTGTTTTCATACACGCCTTGATTTCAGAGCTCGAAACGAGACTGGTGAATTAATGAATTAATGGTGTTGGTGACCCGTATTTCACCGTTTGTCGTAGTTTGTGTGGAAGTAAAGTTTAGGTATAATGCTTTGGTAAACGAAAAACTTGAAGACTAAATGAAACTTGAAGACTAAATGGTACGAATTACTGACATCGAGACAGATAGGTCTATGCACACTGTGTATGACTCTAAGGCTAATGTAAGAATAGGCCTCTTAAACATTTTGTTTTTATAAGCTACCAATGCACAAAACAATAATTCACAAAGCGAGTTAAACTGCACCAAATGTGCTTTGACAGATTTCACTTATGGCAGTTACTATCAACAGAAATCATCACAAAAGATAATCGTTAAACCCCCCTGGCCTTTGTTGTTAATTTTCCAAAAAAAGTATCCACTGTTTTATCCCTTTATGTCGCAGAACACAAACAAGCACCCCACGAGTCTTATATTAGCGATTTTAGGCCAATATTCGCCCATTTCTATCAACACATGAAACAAAAAGTCAAGCGTCGGTGTGTTATTCTAGGAGCTTCCCCCCGGTTTATACAACGAGTTTTTACGGTACGGCAGATGCGCACCAAGCCAAGCGTAACAGACCCCGGAGTGCCTAGCGAGCCGGGCCCGCCGAGTTTATACCGTGGTCTGCGCGCCAGCCCCGGCGAAGGGCAGACAGACGCGGTCCACATGGGACCCGGTATCGCCGCACCGCTAATGACTTGACGCCCTTCGTTCATTCGCAGGATTTCTGGTGGAATCGTTGCCGATGACGGAAAAAGAGACAGAGAGGTTACAGATAAAAAAAAAAACCTAAAAACTATAATATCCAAAACCCGTGGCCATATAATAGACACAGAGGATTTTCTAGCCGGAGACCATCATTATATATACCGTCACTTTTATGATGTTTGCCTAGAGGGGGAAGAAGAGGGACTAGCGAGTGAGGGAACGAGTTGATGGGGAGCTTTTCCCGACTCGCACCTGAGACCCAACCACTTAAGGTCGGCTTCTGGCTGGCAGCGCGCTAACAAAGACCTGGGGTACTCTAGGGGATTGCGTTTCTTTTCCCCCTCGCGCTGTGAGGAGAGAGGCTCGCGTATGGAGGAGGATGATGATGAGACTACTCACGGAGACCGAAGAGAGCGATCCCGGCCGGCGAGCCCGACCGTCTTGGTTTTATTGGATTTCTTGGGGATTGCTCTGCGATTAGGGACAATTTAGGTCCGAGCACGGATCACGACGCGGGCTGGGAGGGCCAGTGGAGTCCACGCTGTCAACAGCCTCTTCAGAGCAATTCAATAAAGTCAAAACACGATGAATTAGTGCTCGCACTGTATCCTCCATACATTGTGTTTATCCTTGTATTTGCAGTATCCTTAAATGTTTTCAATATTAAAGAGCATATTGAATTGTCAGTTGTGTACAACTGATGTGTACTGTTTCCGTTTCTCAAACTTTTTTTCTAAAAATGCATCAATGCAATACACTACTCTGCCAAGGACTAGTGAAAAAAAACATATCCCACTTAACAAGTTATACAGTCAAGGCACATGTCTTTAACAGTACAAACCTATGAGGAGTGAAGCAACATACGACAGAAAAGATACTTCATACTCAATGACAGATTCAAACGGACCAATAAGAAGCTTTCTTATTGACATTTCTACAAAGAAGCACGAAGCAGCGAAATAAAATGGATATTTTCCAAAATGCACTCAACAAAATCTACACAAAGAATAAGACCCTTGGGAATTGAAAGCAAGCGAGAATCAAAAAGTTGGTTTAATATTTTAAGCGTCAGTGCATCAAACAACGTTTTTTTTCTTCACATTGATGCGATCTCTCTAATCGAACTACCTCCTCGCGCGCTGATGATATTCTTACACGTGTAGTGTGATAAGTAATCACATTTTGCCGCCGACAGAAAAAAAAAATCCGCGCGTTCACTTTTAGAAATTGCTGGAATCGGATTAGCGGGGCGGTAATAAGGACGCTGAGAACGGCCCGAAAATCTCTGGCTGTAATGCGCGCCGTTTCGCGGGGAATTGAATTAGGTAATTTGGGCTGAAATGAGAGTCGTGACGGACCTCGCCTATCGGATCAGCATCGCTTTTTGCGCCGGCTAAAGACAATTACCCAGCCCCCGCCCACCAGGGAGCGCAAAATCCTGAGTTTTGAACTAAAGTGAGGAACTAGAACACTCGCTTACGAATCATGTATCCTTTTGATGATTCATTCCGTAAACCTTTGTTTCCCCACGCATTTTTGTCTTCGTGAAATACTATTTTTAGACACAGGTTTTCTATGCTGTATATTTAGATGTTATCTGTAAGAATTTAGATTAAATGCGTACAGTTGTTCTTACGGAGAAACAAAATGATATGTAACACCCCCCGTAATAGACTACATGTACATGTAGGCTGATTGGCTTTTGGGATAGACGGCATACTATTTTGCAACAGATCAGATGCTGACAGGATAAGAGATAAAGTATACACTGTGTTAAAATGTTGTTCATTCCGCACAAAGAGGTCTTGACCATTGAGCCGAGCATTTGTGTCTATAATATAGCTGCACTGCACTCTAAAAAGTCCCTGGTCAGATTTGACCCGGATCCGAGATCTATTCGGCCTCGGATGCTTTTCCAGGTCAAAATAACACTTTCCAGAGTCAAAATGACACTTTTCGGGTCACAATGACACTTTTCCGGGTCAAAATGACACTTTTTCGGGTCTCAATGACACTTTTCTGAATCAGTGTCCTGGTCACTTTGACCCGAAAACCTTGGCTGAAGTGTCATGTTGACCCAGAAAAGTGTCATTTTGACCGAGAGTAGTGTCATTTTGATCCCGACAAGTGTCATTTTGATCCTGAAAAGTGTCATTTGACCCTGAAAAGCATCAGGCCAAATAGCCTACCTGGATTCCGGGTCAAATCGTACTTCTGTCCACACATGTGTACTTCTCTGCAGAATAACTGTTTTCTTTACGAAGACAGAATTAATATGCATTAAAATACATGTGTATGAACATCGTTAAAAATTAAGTGTGAAAAGTGCAATCAGATGGTTTTTCCTTACTCTCAATGTTGCCCGAGCACTGCACTCCAAACCATTAACCGTATTATCTGGTTGTACACCTACAATGCACTGCCCTCTCAGAAAAAAAGAACCCATTTTTTTTTACTTGATCCACCCACGATTAAGAATCACTTGCATGATTGTCTGATGGTAATGGAGCTGGCATCACTTCAATCTTTATTAATAATAATATCATCGTTAGGTAGTGATCCTGACATTCATTACGCGTTACCAGTTATCAGTCCACCTGTCGCCGGATTTCCCAGGATATCCCTGGGTGTATAGCGCGCTTACATGCAGAGGTTTTCCGGACAGATTGTGGCAAATTGACCAAAATTGGAGCCAAATTGGTCCAATTCGAGACTTGAGCGAGATCAGGGCATTGTCTGGCCGCGCACCTACGCCCAGCTAATGACCCCCTCGTTAATCAATTACATCCAAGGTCCGGGGTGATGCGCTCTGGGGAGTGCTTTGGTATTAACCCTAATCACTCTGACCTTGAAAGTGGGAGAAATCTCTTTTCCCATCGATGTCCGAGTGTCTAAACGTCAGACAAGTTCAATGCTGCGTCAAACCACAAAGCCATTTGATAGCACTACCAATGACACTCGCTTCGGAATACAATGTACTCACGGAACAGTTTTGTGTTTTAAAGTTACATCAGAGTCAGCGTTAATTTTTTTGTGGAGTTCATATTGGGAGATAAATGAAAAAAAAACATAAGCATCTTATGTTTTGAAAGTAAATAAATCCTAAACGTAAAAACTATTGGGACAAAAAAAATTCACTTATGCTTTAAAATAAAACTGCAAAATTGTAGGGACATTTTTAGGGATTATTTTTTAAGAGCATTGATTTTTTTACTCAAACTAATCAATAACGCTGGATCTTTGTTACACTTTCGGAGGCGATAGATGTCAACTTTGTATTTTCTAGAAACTTTATCTTTTTTTCTTAATTAAACTTCTTTTCGTCCAATTAACTTTATTTAGGCCTAATCGACTTAAGTCTACATCAATTCTCTGCGGAAAAAAAATAATTGAGGATTTTTTTAAAAGCGATAAACGCCATGTATTTCTGTAATTGAGGAGTAATCATGGTTTAAACGCATGCGATTAATTCCTCGTACAAAGTAAATATCGATATGAAAGTAGAGTAGGCCTTACTTGGAAAATTAATCACTCAAAAAAGATTCCCCAAACCTCCCACATTTTAATACATTACATTTTCATCGTAGTTTGGTATACGTCGGTGAGGCTTGACATGCGAAACAATGCTATAATATTAATAATGCCGATTTGAAGTGTTTACGCAGATATAACCGCCAAGTCTTCTACTCGACTGGGCGCTGTAGGGGGACTGGAGAAAAACCACTCATTTCGAGCACAACTGGACAGATGGGCTGCAAGTGGTATACGACGCCCGCTCTACTCCAAGAAAAAAAAATGACCTAACTACGTACATACGAACAGATGATATCCACACTGCGCATGCTCTGAACGCGGAGCGATCCAGTTTCTGATTGGTTCACTGCACTGGTTTCGATCGGTATAATGAGATCACGTGTCCAAATGGCATGCGCGCACTGGCGTGTGGTGTATTTAGACAGCGAAGTTTCCGCGCTGTGTCATTTTGTTTTGGTGCTTCAGTTCGGGACAGCCGGCGTTTATAATTTGACTGCTTTCCCGGTCTGAAAGTTGAGTTTATTTCGTTGGTTCTTTATTGATGGACTTATATTGAAAACGCCTCCTTCTTGCATTCGATATTGGTGAGTACGAGTTTCGTTTTCTTTTTCAAGTTCTTTTCAAAATGACAGCTCATGTGGCTAAGAAGGTGTATTAATATTAGCTATTTTTGTTGTTGTTACAACTATTTTGTTTTAATGAAAAATTAATGTTTGAAAGTATCATAAAACTCTTTTTTTTAGGCACGTTTTAAGAAAACGCTGGTGTGTGTTGTTTTTAGTGAACTGATTACAATGAGAATGTGTGTTTGTCTGCAAACTTTTCCATTAATTATCTAAACAATTAATTATTATTATTATGAAGCAGTTATTATTATTCGACAACGTTGCTTATATTCTTAAAGTTAAATACAGTAAAGTCTGAAATTAAGACTGATAAAGTCCCTGGGGTATTTACTGAAAATGATATCACTTAATGCTTCGAAGAGGAAATTATGGACCTAAACAATGAGTTTACGTACAAAGAAAACGGTTTCTAATATGTGTCTATATTTATGTTATATTTTATATTGATGCTATCAATTTTTGTCTTGCAAATGTTGTGCTATTATTTTGTATGCATAAATTGCGCATGAAGTGCGAATGTCGTGTGGCTTACAGGGTTTTTTTGACAAAACATCTGTGACGTTATCAGTTTACATGTGAGCGTGACGAGGACGAACTTGTATGCGGCGGGTGTTTTTTATATTTTTCCTGGAAAGAACATTAATGTGAAATGCAGAAACATGACCATGACCATAAATCTTAATTGCTTTCCTATGCATATGGGTTAAGAATTCACGCGATATACAAAGGGATAAAAACTATAATTACTGTTTGTTCTGATCCTTGTCTAACCATTCGCACCGACTGCAATCTTCATATTGGTTGATAAACATGAAGACGGCTATTTCAAATTAAAATGTTTTAGTTCTAGTCAACATCTTTATTTTAACATTATACTGATCCTTGTCAGCCTCCCTTTGGTGAATATCTGTCCCAATTATTTTTCGATCAAAGACCATAATATATTCAAAACCCTCCGCAATGTCCACTGCCCTCGATAACCAACAATCGACGACACATTTAAGTCTAAATATTGTCCGCTGTGATTTTTTTTATTTTAATTTGAAATAACGAGCATATGGTATTAAACATCTTTTTTTCCCTAAGTCTACGCGTCGCTTACATTTTCTCTAATGATGAAATTATGTAATTGTATGGTTTTTATCTTATCATGCAGTACGACTTTGTAATTTGAAATAAAATATGGATAATTATTATCAATTATATACTACTGAGTCTCTATAGCAACGTAACTCTACAATCGTAAAAAAAAAAACCGCTACAGATGGCTTCGGTTGTACTAATTCTACTTGAGCATACAGAAAACAAAAAGGAAATTTCATTCAACAAAAGATACTTGTCACATAATATCCGTGTACGATTTGCACACGTGCCTTGAGAAAAAGTCAGTTCACAATAACAATGTGTACAATGTACTTTCATTCTGTATATAAGTAATACAATTTTATCGGAACCAAGGGGAAAATCAGGCTCTGGAACGTCGCAGTTACGATGTCAAATGATTGAGTAACGCGATTAGAAATGTCATTCAAGTCATGTTTTCCCATAACTCACCTGTTCGCAATTACAAGTCATGTTATTGAACACTAGAAACGCAATGTACAATAATGATTCTCATATGTGACCGGATTTGTAAAGTAATTGAATTCCAGATAAAAATAGGTTAAAACCTGTAAAAATGGGAGAAGGATGAATAACCAGACACTGACAAAATTCCTGTAAAAAGGATACACGGTTCACGGAATATGTGAGTCAAACCCCATAGGCTTAGCATTAATATTATTATATCATAATTAAACCGCCTTTTTCTTGATAGTGAGAGCGATGGGGAGTGAGGTCATATAAAATACCGCACATCAGGTGACTAACACGATCGGTTACCGAGTTAACCGTGATGGAACCAGAACTCTTTCACATTCCCGCCCGCAAATTACTGATATCCCTGCTCTACCAAGTTTCTTGTTATTGTCATCTTATTAGTCATCCACACGCAAAAGCTCGCCCGATCGGACAATATATCACCCGGTGTATCGCGTTAAGGATCCCGCCAAAAATATATATTATCGTCCGCCAAGCCGCGATGCCGCGTCCGCGAAATTTAAGCAGTAAGTAAAACCGTAACAGGCCATGCGTCAGTGCGCGGAGCGCGATCTCCGGTTACTTGTTATTGCTGCGTAACGCACGAGTGGTCATCATCTCAATTATCTTGTCTCTTGCTGGGAAGCAAAAATTGGCTTTCTGGTGTGTTTTTTCTTCCTGTCATTGGTGTTGTGGTTTGAGATCGAGGCTGAGCATAACCGGGGAATCCTCAAGTCAGTCACGAGTGAGGTCTTTACGGCTCAGCCGCTGGGGAGTCGTACGGGACACCGGGCAGTCGAGGGGACGGGGTTGGCTCTGCGTTTTCGCGTGTTGCGAGCAACCGTAAAAAGTCTTATTTAACAAGGGAGATAATTAGGCAGGGGTCCCGCGGGAGCCCTTTCTTTCTGGGCGGGAATTATTCCGAAATAGGGAAGAAGTGTCACATTTTGGCTCCGGCGTTGCCATGCGCAATCAATCACATCACAATGAGTCATTTTTCGGAGGCAGAGGTATTGTTCAGGGGGCATGACTCACGACAAAGACAAAGGAATGATGCAGGAGATTTTTTTGGTAAACCTCGATGGAATTTATTTCATTTTTCTTTATTAACTTTTTTAATTGGGTTGAAATGTTCATTGGATTAATGAGTGTGTTTCTTCGTGTAATAAGAACATACATGTACACTTAAGAACAATACAACCGGGGTTGTTTCATCGTGTGACGATTGTGACGTTTAAGAATAGTGATGTGGGTTCCCGATGCATTCAATATGGAGCAAAATGATTGCCGATTGGGATGCGTCTCTTTAAGTTCAATTTGTCTATCTTCTTGTTAATCATCATGTTTGACGCCGTAATTTAATCTGTGAGATATTAGTTGGTATTGTTTCTCTATTGTGTCGTTATATACATGAGCAATGTTGCATGTCAATTCGCAAAAATTTCCTTTGTAAAAAGTGTACATCTCCCTGTTGAAGCAAGCCTTATCTTCAACTTTAGGCCAAAATCTGCGGTAACGCGATAGGATTTAGGTCTCTTATTGCGACTGGTGCGCAGAGGTGTGTAAATGCACTGAACACCTCAAACCAGAACCTCAGCACCTCGCGCCTAACAAAGGAACAATAATTCAAGGTGTAGTTAAACTGAAACCTGAAATAAATTACTACACATACCAGACGCACAGCCAAACACTCACAGCCCCAGATCGAGGCTTCCATTCTGCTTCGCCATCCATTAATACTTCCTCAATACCAAATCACCTCTCATTGTTTATCGCCTCCCATCCGCCCAACACCCTCCAGCGCCGGTAACCAATTTGCCCTTCCTCTGTCAACTACCACCCCTATATCCCCTCTCTCTCTCCCCTCTCTATCTCGCCTCGGTGCTTCAAACAAGACTCTCCTGGACGAGTGGCCCGGTGTTACCGGTTGACACTTCCGATCGTTTTCGCCGCGTGTCCTTCAATTCAATCACCGTTTGTCCCTCCATTTCCGAGGCTCTTGTCAGGCTCGTTCGATAATAATTAACCGGCTTACGAGTGGTGGTTGACTGTAAAAACTCTGGCTGTCGCCGGGACCAAATTGCGACGAGAGTTGATTAGGTCGAGATTAATGACTCTAGTAGGTTTTTCCCCCTCTACTCGGGTAGATGGAGTAATTATGAATATGAAGGCAAAATTGATACTTCTAAGTGTGAAGTTATGGATGGAAAACTCATTAGTCTGCTATATCTAGATGCATTTTCAGTTACTAAAAAGATTAAAGAATAAAAATGCCTGTCTAAACAAAGAAAAAGCCGAGAAGTGAATTAAAGCACAATTTATTTCAGTGTCTGACAGAATTATGATCCTTGACCTTTAACCCTAACAGTCCCGGATCGTCCAATTTTGGGCAGCAAGGCCTTTTAATGACCAAAATGAACTGCTTTTTTCCAAACACCTAACATCAGGGTTGAACCATGGGCTGGAATTAGAGAGAATTTGACAATATCCAGATGCTCATATTACCAATAATAATGACTGTGTGCAAAGAAAGCCTTGCTTTGTATAGAATCAAATCATATTCACTCCACTCTGCCAATTGCTTGTCGCTATATTACCATCCTTTGTTCTTTATGGACTATATCAGAACAACCTCTATTAATTACCGGCGATTGAAAAAAATGCAACCGCCCTCAAAGGCTCTGTGGTCAGAGATAATGTCTCCAATCTCACAACAGAGGTCCAACTGGAACAAAACCTCCATGGACAAACATTACCTTCCTAGACATAACCAGACTTCACTGTCCTAATTAGCGCCAAAAAGACGCGAGTTATCTCACCCGGGCAACCGCCGACACAACAACCTGGCAACCTTGTCTCATCTCCTCTTCGCCTCCATCCTCCGCAACAGGCAAGGCATCAATTAGCCTACATGTATTATGCCTTCCTTTATCGTCTTCCTTATCATCACCTTTGTCCTCCCGTCTTGACTTACCGTCCCCAACCACCAAGCAGCCATCTTCTCGAGGAAACAAACCTCGTGGTGTAATGGGCCACGAGCCCGTATAAATCGCACCCGGAATGGCCCTATTAGCGAGGTGAGATGACAGATGGAGAGACGACGGGGTATAATGAGGAGGATAACGGTGATGCGGCAGGGATGCAGCTACAACATTTACAAGATAAGCCATCTTTTGTTCGAAGCTACACCCGAAACAAAACACTCAAAGAGGCTCTTTTTAGCACAAATACACCAAGCCTAAAATTCTACTCCTCGTGTATGTACAGAAACTGTATAGCTAACGCTGCTGGTACGTTTGGGAAATATCGTAATTCATATGATTTGGTGTCTGATGATATTTTTTCCAGTGATCAATTACTGTGGAAAAAAAATAAAAAATAAGATCCGAGCCAATAGGCCTCCACCCATATAGCAACACACCTCCTACATTAAACACTCTTGTCATATTGAACAGATACACAGTCAAACTTGACTCCCAGCTGATCTTAAAGAGTGTTAACCATTTGCAATTAAAAAAATCAGACGGAAATGGGGGAAATCTGTTTCTAAAATTGGAATTTAGTGCAAAGCTAAAAAGGTCACTTGCTTTTCGGAGAGACCAAACCTCCGGTCACTTCTCAGTTCAGCATTATGACTATGTTGTTTCAAGAAAGCAAACCTTGCCGTCCACTGATCATCAACAAAAATGGATATCACAAAACATTGTGCGCCGACACTTGTGTGGAACTAATCAAATTTTACAGATTTCTTTGCCGTTCCGTGCGATGGAAATTTGTTTTTATTTTGGTTCATCTGATATCGATATCTGGTTAACCCAGACTGGTTTCCAAACCATGGCGCCTTGGCTTGGGACGAGGAGCTCATAATCTCCGGTGATACCGAACCTCAATAATGGTGACACCGAGGCTTAGTCCTTAATTAGTCGTAATGACGCGCGAGTGGTTATCGATGGCGCGTGGCGTGTTACGTAATCAGGGAACGCAGAAAGATTGACTGTTAAGAGGATTAATATTGACGGCAGCGCCTGCAATCTATAACAAAATATCTGAGATGAAAATCACGAGTTTATAATAGAACTACAACAAGGTCAACAGAGATAATTCTGCTAAAATAAAATTAAAAATCACACCTTCTAACTTCTACGATCTATTTTAGGTCAATGTAGTCCGTAAGCAGTTTGCAACAGCGTTTTAATTCTCGTTAATCATCAACTGAATACAGTCTATCAAATATGTGGAAAGGAATCATTATTATGACTCTCTAACCGCCTTTTATCACATCGGCAATCAAAATGATTAGATACGTCACAAGAGCCAAAATCAGGCAGAAGATTGCTAGTTACATTATACTTTCAACTGATGGATAATACACCTGTTGGTGTTATTATGACCTCAGCTTAATTAATTGACCGTTTCCTTTTCTATATTTATTTTACAGCCTTGTATGAACGCCATGCCAACACTGACAACCAGTAAGCCTTTACGAGACCAGCAAGTGACATCATCTTTCGCAGAAACCCTGGGCACTGTGCTACTCCAAGATGAAATGGGAACACGTCACGAGGATATCGATGACGTCACCGATGACGTCCACAACTGCAATTTAGAGTCCTCATCATCGTCGTCTTCGTCGTCGTCAACCAAAGGCAAGACGTCCAGATCGAGAAAACGTCAAAAGGGCCTCGACGAGAACGGAGAGAAGCCGCCACCGAAGAAACGCGGGCCGAAGAAGAAGAAGATGACCAAAGCCCGGGTGCAGAAATTCAAACAGCGGCGCGTAAAAGCCAACACCAGGGAACGGAACCGAATGCACGGGCTCAACGACGCGCTCGACCACCTGCGGACAGTGGTCCCTTGCTACTCGAAAACCCAAAAGTTGTCCAAGATTGAGACTCTCCGATTGGCCAAGAATTACATCACTGCCCTGGCGGACATTCTGCGGACTGGCTCCGTTCCGGACACCGTGTCCTTCGCGCAGACGCTATCCAAGGGACTCTCGCAACCCACCACGAATCTCGTAGCGGGCGCTATGCAACTCAACCCGCGCACCTTGCTTCCCGAGGAGAACCGGAACAATTACGGCATCTGGCCCAAGAGGGCGCCCTACGAGTCGTCCTACTTCGAGCCCAACGATTGCGGCTTCGCCGATCACGTCGGAAACGCAGCCGTAGACGAAAACTACAACACGGCCAACTTTTCCGGTGCAGACATCACGAGACTCCAGCAGGATGACAGCAACATGTACGGGGATATGTCAAATGGCTACGGCCGCCATTTTGAAAATATGGCCGTCAACAACGCCCCTCTTCCGAGAAATGCAAATTACCACTGTCAGTACACCACCCACCAAAACCACCACCACGTGCAGCAACAGCACCCCCAAACCAGAATGGACTGTGCCACTGAACCAATGCCGGACGATCTTTTCACTACAATTGGATATACGTCACAGAATACCCGGATGTACAGTTATGGAGGTCAAGTTGGGGCTTCTGGAAGTGGGGGACAGGGGGGCAACATGGGTAATATCTACTCCCCTGGCGGGGATCACTACGTATCGTCAACAATTTGCGACAAGGATTTGGATGTACTTGGGTGTGGAAACAATCTTTTTCACGGATAAATATTTATGAATCTGTAGACAATAACATACCCAGCCGACACATTATTGTTGTGTTATAACGGTTTGGGCTAGTGAACCGATAATTTGTCTTCAATACTTCCTAACGAAAATCACAAGACATAATTGTCGGATTTTTAAAAGAAGGTTATACTCAGTTTTTTTTTTTCAGATTTAAAATTTCACTTTTGTGGTTTCGTGACCGTCACAAAATTAACCAAATTCCACAGTTGGAAATTAAATCGCATTAAAAATTGAAAGTAACCTCGATTTCCCTCTTATTTTTTCACCTTCCTTTGTCATATTGTTTTACTCACATCACCCCTGCGAATCAAGTTTTAGCCTTGTACTATCAATATTCCCCGAAACGACGGGGCACTACCTCACGGTGAATACAAATAGCGCCCTCAATATAATAATGATTCTTCCCCCCTCCCCTTCAACTTCCTTGCGGTCTTTTAAACTCTTCTGGGAAAGATTTCCGTATACGAAGTTCACTAAGTTTCCTCTGTATTGACTAACAATCCCCCAGATAGCAATTTCATGTCATCAAAGTCAATTTGAGCAGTGAGAAAATACAAGCATTTTCTTAGAAAACACTTTTTTCACAATTTTTCAGTCCAATCTCATAGGGTTTGTACACAGGGTGTTGAGTGAACTTCGTATATGGAAATCTTTCCCTCTTCTGAATTTATTCCACATAAACGTGGTCCCGTGTATTTCTTCATTGTAAATAACTATTTTTAGAGACAAGATACGATATTTTGTACATATTTTCCACATCTACGCCGACATTCCGGGATTTTTGCATTAAAGTAACCGCCGACAAATCAAGGCTTGAATTTCAAGACGAGTCATTTTTTTTCTACAATTCAAAGATTGATAGTGATTCAAAATATTTTGTTATTTTACCAACCGCCTTTATCAATAAAAAGTGCAATATTTTACAGTACACGTATTTATCCGAGAAAAGGGACAATAAAACAATCCTTGATTTGGAACGGAAAGCTTAACATTGATTTTGTTTTTCTATACTTATGTTGATTAGGTGTTAAGACGAAATACAGCGGTGTCCTCATTTACTCAAGTGTGTATTTTTTACGATTTTATGACTTATTTTAAAGGAGCCTAGGTGGAAATTTGCCGACCAAAATGGTCAGTTTAGTAAACTTTTAGTGTTTTCAAACTGGTAGCCTAGGTTTAATCTGCTTTATCAATTTGCTTACTTAATTTGAGATGCCGAATTCAGGACGAAGAAAAGGCCCTGCGCGTATTCAACCCTCTTCAGTGTAAAACTATGAAGGCCGGTAATACTGTAGTATCCAGACCCCACTTCTTGGTTGTGTACAAAGTCTATGGAGAGTCGAGTGTATTTTCAAAGTATTTTCTAACAAAATCAAAAATGTTTCTCAGTCCCAGATTCATGCCTTTTCAAAATGTTTGCAACGACTGACCTTCATTGAGATAATATATGATAAAAAGTGGCGTCATGATGCAATATTCTATCCAACTTCTCCCTAGTTATACCATGGATACGTCCCAGACTAAGCTTACTTACCGCACCACCACGAGGATGTTCCGGGGCGTACACGGGCGACTTCGTCGAGACTTCACGGTGCATCAACGTGGCGAAACCCTGTGGTTGTTGACTTGTCGTTCTCGTCAAAATCACGCTATGCAGTTGTCCCACACTCAAAGTTGTTAAACGACATATTATCATTCCAAACGACACTGTTCGTGGTAGTTGCTGCTGTCTTTGAACGTTGAAAAACGTTGAAAAAAGTGAGTCCTAAGTCCAAAATTAACTTTGTTTCTGACGTGCTTTTGTCAACATCTTTAGTCGTCTTGACCCCGTTTTGACACAATGGCCGCCGTTTTTCAAAGTCTCACCATGGTCTCACACAGTTCGGACAACGGCGCGCGTGCCGAAAAGGATTTGCTTTGTTATGCAAATTAAGCGCGCGTGTGCGGCTGGCGTTTCTAAGGAAGGAATTTACAGTGTTCCAGCAGTTCACCAGAAAAAAACTTAATTCGGTTCATAACTTATGGTGGCCGCAAAAGAACCTAACACACTGTAGGAGCCTTGGATATTTTAACTTGTCTACACTGTTTAATTATTTTTTTGGGGGGGGGGGTTAAGAAAAGGGTTTGAGTTTTAGGAGGGTGGCAACGATTTACAAAGAAATCGTTTCAAAGAGTTTTAAACAGAAAGAAGAAATGATATTATTTTTTTCAAAACTATTCAGTTGATAATTATGTACACAAAAGTTTTGGGAATATGGAAAAATGCGTTGTGAAAAATATATTATAATTATTTTCCGGCGAAATTTTCATTTTGCTCATTTTTTTTATTGAAGTCTCATTTTATTTACAAAATGTCAAGTTCGTTTTTACATAAACAACAATGTTTACAATATTTAATGTGGTGTGAAACCATACACATCAGCCTCACTGCAACCTGTTCACATTTACAAAACGAGTGGTCGTGTTTACAATGAAGAACTGAAAGCGTGAAAATTCTTTACAAATTTATCAACATTAAATATTACAAAATCTTATTTACATGAACAAGGAAGACTAACCGCCACATCTTTTTCAGAGTAAAATAAAAACGTGATTTAAGGCACACTGATAGGGTTTTCATATAAGATCTTGTTTTAGTCAATAATGGAGACAAACAATACGAAATTTAAAACCTTTTGGGACGATTTCGACAACCTCCGCTTTTTTCATAGATTACGTTCAAATAATTATGACAGAACATCTGGTTTTAAAGCTGGGCATTCCCCCCTCCCCCCATCGATTTTTTTTTTTTAACGCCCCACCCCATCCCCGCGATTCTCCAGAAATGTGAATGTTTCCATAATAATGTCTTCCTTGTTGAAGGTATAGACCATCCGGGCACACTGTCATATCTACCATTGAGGCCCCCTTCAATGGCGAAAACAGTGTGCTAGCTAGTGTTCAGATTGTCCGTCATGAGGCAATATAGCTTTGCGCAATAGCGTGTGCAATGGTTTCTCCATTAAAGGGGCCTCATGAGTGTACAGTGGGGCTGACATTACATTACACTAGGGGCTGCTCTTCAGGACATAGGCCTACATGTATATCAATATGTATGTATAATATACTGGCATCAAACAGGCGCATTTTAAAAGCTTTTGTTCTTCGTTTCATTACTTTTCAGTGCTATTGAATACATTTTGGTCGTTGGGATGTTGAAAAATTACCTCAAAATCAACAGTTTTTTCTCATCACGAAAAAGTGGGGGATGATTTAATAGCCCAACCACCCCCCCCCTCCCCCTAGTCAAAAAGTATGGGGGATATATATCCCCCCCCCCCCCCGGGATTCACGCCCCGGCAGTGATCGCACGCCTGGATTTGTCGATTTACCAAGATGAACCACGTGTTTCGCAAAGTGCGCCCTCATGGATCTAGAAACACGTGTAAGATTTTACTATTGCTTAATTGCTGTTCAATTTGCTTTTTCGAGGCATGGCAGACACAATAGAAGGGCGCTGTTTGATTTTGTATTTAGCCAAACCAAACAGCGCCCCCTACGTGTCTGCCATACTTCAAATAGGCCAGTAGTCAAAGTCTCCCGAGCCACAAGCAGTTTATATACATGTAGTAACGAATGGTCCATGAAATACAATTCAACCAGCGTAAAGGGAATGTTTGGGGCGTGGTTTAGTTTTCAGTTCCCTTGGCACTCGCTCGTGAGCTCAAGTTGCTCATCTCCGTGGTGTTGCTAATAGCTCCGGCTGCTTTGGAGCTCGAGGGAGCCACTATGGATCCCGCTTGGGACCCCATCGTCGCCCCACGACAATCCCGCTGCTTTCCCGCTTGCTTGAAGCAGCACGGGAACGCCTTCCGGAAACAATTCCGAAAGTTCTCCCCGAGGAAGGCGTAGATGAACGGATTGACGCACGAGCTGGTGTAGCTCATCACGTGGCCCACGGTTTTGAAATAAAACGTCCCGTCGCTGAAGGGGAAGTCCGGATCCAAGCGGCGCCACATGTTGACGACGTGGATCGGAAACCAGCAGACGGCAAAAACTACCACCACAGCCAACACCATCCAGGTGATTTTCCGTTTCTGCCGCAGTTGTCGCTCAGCGTTGACCGCGCTGGCCGGGCCGCTCATGGGTTCATTGGGCACCACGCGCTGCCACAAGTGGCGGAGCATGGTGCTGTAGCAGATGGCGATCGCGATCAGAGGGAGGGAGAACACTAGAACGAATGACAGCACCACGAAGCACTGCTCCCAGGTTGTGCTTGGCCACTGTTCTATACAGTAGGGCTCTACCCCCTGGTCGAGGTATCCGATGTCCAAGAAGACCAAGAGCGGTGTGTAGAGAATTAGAGCGACTGCAAAAAAAGGGGGGTGGTTAATATAATCGTCGAGTCCTTGAACGCTTGGTGGCGGTATATGAACAGGCTTGTCATTCCCGTTAAGGGTGCAATCCAGTAAATTGGCCCCCAATAAAAACGGTCCGCCGAGCTCATGAATAAAAGTTATACCTTTAAATTATTCTATATTAGAGAGTTCTGAGAGCCATGGAATTGGGGGATTGAAGACATACGGCACTGTACCTCTGGCCTGGACTTGGGGATTCCAATAATGAACATGTCGGATACAATTGGGTCCGAAAGTGGCACTATTTAGCCATGTTGTTATGGAGGGATCCTTTTTCAAAATGACAGCTTTTCCAGTTTTGGAAATATCATTTGATCCTCATTGGCCAACGCACCAAATTGAAAGGAAAATGAAAGACGACATGTTGATTATCATTTTTCAGTGAAGCCTGAATACCTGTGAGAGTTTTGAGTAATAGTATTTTTTAAAGATTTTTTTTAGGGATTACCACTGGTGACTGTGGAAATGAATTGCCTGGGTTGCACCCTTTACAGCATAACCAATGCCAAATACAATAGGAAACAGTTTATGTGTCTGCTGCCACCATGCGGTTTAGACCGACCAATTTTCTCACTGATATGCACCATCAGATGTAAATAACATGAATTCGAAAGAAATAAAAGCTTCGGAGTAAATTTGTACACATTTTCTTCAGCAGTTGATGTGCTTTTCCAATGATCATGACTCCACTGAGGACTGGGTATGCTTTCTCGATAGGAAGAGACTTACACAGCCAAATGGAGACACTGATGATTACAGCAGTCTGAAGGGTACGGGTCCTCAATGACTTGAGAGGCATGACGATGGCTTGGAAACGGTCAACACTCATGGCCATCAGCAGAAAGCATGTTGCTTGCGCAGTCACCTGTAATATGATCATTGAGCTGTTATTTTCGATTTCGTTTTTTTTTTTGAGTTGAGGAATAAAGTATGTCTGTTAATTGAACGATATCGAAACCATGGAAAATTTCCACCGGGCATGCTATCACTTCAATGGGAGACTTTTGAGACGTTGGTGGCAGCGAATACACCTGTCCTTTTCCATTGCCGAGCGTGTTGATCATGCGCGCTTCAGCTTAAACATGACGTTAACATTTGAACAGGACCGGTGTGTCTGCTGCCACCAACGTCTCAAAAGTTAGTCTATGTAATAAACCATGGCGGAGGCATGGTCTATAACAAGTGAGCAGATTTGCTGATTAATAATTATGCAAGACAACCGTATCTTGACCTCTAGATTTTGACCAATCAGCGGACCCTTTCTATGTCGGCTCTTCGGTCATTCACCCGTTGTCGCGTCATAGACATAGATAAAACAAACAGACAGAGACACAGCAACAAAGGCTGTGGTCACGCACTCTGTATTATGTTTAATACGCGATACCACCCGGCTGTAGTTGTATTACTAAACACTGCATTCGAATTGACCAATCAAACTTTAAGTCCTGATTTGGGAGTAAAATGACGTCACGATTTAGTAAAGTCGACTCCGATTGGCTGAGGCGCGAGATCGCATAAATCTGCATGCTTTGATATACATGTATCAGACGTTAGAAAGGAGTCTTGGCTCCGTGGATAACGGGTGATACTCAGTCTACTCAAAAGTCTCCCATTGCAGAGGCCCCATTTTTGACGAAATCATCGTGACAGCTATTTTTCAGTTGATCTGTAGTTTGGCACAACAGCTTGTAGAGTGCTTTCACCAATGAATGAATGAAGGGGGCGTATTGTGTGTACATTGATCACGTGCCCGGGCAAACAGGCATAACTGCGCCCTCTTGCGACGCATTGGTGAAAATAATCGCATCCTTCAGGCAACCAGGTTGTTTCTATGTAGTATATTGAATATCCTCTTGCATATCAAGGGCGAGCAGATACGGCGATTAATTATGTGAAACAAGACTGCGGCTTGAACTCGAGTTTCTGACCATTCAGCGATCGCCTTCTATATTGGTCTTCGGTTACCCATTGTCAAAATAGACATCTAATAAACCCTAGTTACGATATCTATAAGCAAGTTCGGTTAGCTAATTAGAGTCGACTAGACCATAGTCAATCTAGATGTCACTCGAACGCTGCGTGGTCTGACTAGCTACTGGAATTATAGATCCGTGACCATTGGCCTTTGACCATGCATACCATTTGCAAATAGAAGACGATCTTGCACATGAACCTGCCGAATAAGAAAGCCGACCCTGTGTACTGGGCTGCCGTAGGGGGCGCGCAGATTGACAGGAACAAGATGTCTGCCGTGGCCAGATTCACTATGTAGTAGTTGGTGACCGTCCGCTTACTCGCCTTGATAATAACATATATGACGAGCGTGTTACCAACGACGCCGACCAATATCAGAATACCTGGAGGAAACAGACACACACAAACAACGAAATGATGGATTAAAAACACTTTTATTATGATTATGACAATTTTCGACTCAAAAGCCTTTGTTGTTTCAGTTAATAAATGAAAAGACTGTTATTTTTCCCCAGGAAGGAAAACCTGCATTTTTAGTATGTGGTTAGGGCCTTCGTGCAAAGACACTGTTCGTCACAAATGCAAATAATTATGGACTTACTGAAAATAACTGGCATGAGCCACGAGAGGTAGGTTAAGTCAGCAGTACCGTCGCCCTCTGACGACGAGTTATCAGATGAAGTCTGCGTGTCGCTGTTGTCTACCGCAGACGTGACGAGGCCATACGACACCATTGCGGTTGTCATCTTTCCCGCCAAAAGTGTCAACTGGGAAGGGTAGCTGCCGAGGTAGAGGCCAATTGCAGAAAAAGGACCAATCGCGAATGGACGCTCAAGTCGTTAGTGTAGAAGATAACCCAGGGGTTGAGCTGTGGAGAGTTGAAGATAAAAACATCAAAAGAATGCTTGTCCTTACTTTAAAAAAAAAAATGTTTGATCGAAACCCAACTAGATAAGTATAAGAGTAAAACATAAATTGTGTTTACCTAGTGAATGACTATTCTCAAGTTATTGAATTAAGGATTTTTCATTTGACATTTTTAATCACTCAATGTTACCAATATGTCCCCTGATTATTAAAAATCAAGTTACAAATGCACTTTTTTTTAACGTTACATGATTCATGCCCAACCTTCTTATTTGCTCCAAAATGAGAAATCTATTTTGAGTCAACTATGTTGACAAAACAATACTCAAGGCTTGTTCGTCACATTACCGACGCGTGCGTTATCTCCTGACAACTGATTTCCCACCGTCTGCATTCTGTTAATATTTGAAGAAAAAAAATTCAATTTATCCTTTATCAGATTACCACATCTTTGGTTCGTCATAAAGAGCAGACCGACTGTGAACTATGCGTGATCTTGTGTGCGTTTCACGGCTTAAGTTTTCGCAGTGCACGCACGAAGTCCAATGCAGACGAAATCTATTACCCGTGACCGCCTCTCCAAAGGGGAAAAAAGGCGGGAAACGGGAAAGAATAACATCGATCTTGTTTGATTTGTTGGTCAGGCACGATTAAGAAGTGTAACCGACCATTTTATCACAATCGCCCGGTCAAATTTGTCGGAACCCCCTTGCGTGAAGTGGTTATATTGGTGTACTCTGCAGGTAATTGTATCGCCAAAACACCGTGAGCGGGGTTAATTCAACCAATGTTTGAGTTGAATATTTGAAATTGCTTTTCTTCCAATTTTCACCACAGTTTTAACAAACGAGGTAACTTTCTACTTCTTTATTGTAGGGGCGTCGATAATAAACAATCCACTACAGGGTGAGTCAAAAAGAAATATACTATTACAAATATTTGTAAAAAAAAATATGTGGCTCGCTCCATTATATAAAATAACATGGGGATAAAGTACATATTATTGACCAGAAACCGTCTAAAGGTAATTTTAGTAAAAATATGCACAACTTTTCATATGGATCAGTTTCAGTAATTGGTTTTTTTTTCTTCAAATGAGTGGACGAACATGCTCGATTATGCTTCGTTGGTGTGTCAAATTTAATTGCTTTTTAAGGGAAAAAATCATAAATCCAGGACAGTTTCCTTTTGTCTCACCCTGTATATTAACCACTCGGAATATCTGCACCTATTATAATGTGACTTGATACACTATTCCAATCGATACTAATATTACTAACGCAAAGAAAGTGTTCCAGCGATGTGAAGTATGCATCGGCCACTCGTCATGACCAGTGTACCGAGAACACTTTTTTTTATCCACTCGCAGACGGACCGATAAATTAAACATTTCGAGATAACTTGGCATCAGAGGAATCCTAGACGCTCGAAGAAACATACACTCGTCGCGAATAATCAACCTTTGTGTATGCATGACAAGTTCACCGTGTGTCTAGAGGAAGAAAATAGTGCATTTACCCGATGACAGCAAAAGCCTTCATGATCAAAGTAAAAATGCGAATATTTGTCTTTTTCCTCAACACAGAGGAATCATGTAACCACGACAGACGAATTGAACAACAGGCACTTGAAACAACAAATGTATGAAAGCGTTTTTGAGCTCTTGCCTATGCTCTGTAAAACACAACTTGGGAGTGGTTTACAGATGGTCATGCTTAAAGGGAAGATACAACATTTGCAAACATCACAAAACGAAATGATCAAATTATCATGAAATACCTTACTGGTTTGTTAGGGAATGACAGTCTAAAGCATCATGTGAAATCGTGGCTCCTGGTGTGCTATCATTCTCAAGAAAAATGGTATTTTTTCAACGCTGGTCGGCCGACCAGCGTTGGAAAAAACTGGCTTTTTTCAAAACCTGCTTCTAATTTTTCATTATTAGTTATTCACTGTTTTCTTTGCAATTGATTGCACACCTGTGAAGGGGTACAAGCCTGCTAGACTGATTCTCTGACTTTACAATTCCCAAAAGTCTATAAATTGCTCCGTTTCATCTTAAGTGGGGTCGGGGAACCAGACTACAAGAACAGGATTGGTTTATTTGGTGTTTCCAACATCTACAAGCCCAAAACGTGAAACAAGTCATTTTAACAATATTGCTATAACATACTAATCCTCCAAACCCATTTATTTCTGAAAATTGCAGCAAAAGCAAATGTTGTACATTCCCTTTAAGTCACTAATGCTTAGCTAAAAAGAGAAGAAAGACAATATAATCAGAGAAGAACTACGTTCTTCTGGTATACCGGAGACATTACGTGGCAAAGCTGCTAGTTCACAAGAGTGCAAGACTGAACACTAAAATGGGGAAAAGGAATATTATGATATATCAAGAGGATGGGAACACGTGTACTTTGAAAGGCAATTTGGAAAACGACTTATGGAAAATCAGGACCAAAAAAAGAGGGCACACGAGAGAATACAATGAATTCAGTGCTGATACAAACATGTTTGTGGGTCATGCTGAAACAACTACCAAAAACATCGAAGCAAGGAATAAAGACAAGTTAATGTAATAAAGAAATGTGTTCGATATTTAAAGGACAATATGCATGCGCTAAGTGAAGTATCCATTGTGATCCAAAGTGTTTCATTTATTTTGCCAGGTTCTGCAGAGGAAACGGCATTGATGTACAACTTAAGAAATAAGGCTTTCGAAGTCGTGCATCAAAGCAATTCTCACTGCTAACCATTCTCGCAACTTATGACGTCACTAATTCAAACGGTGACAAAAATAACAGTGACAAAGGACAGTGATGGTGCGTGGGCAATAAAAACCAAGAATAAAAGTGGTTGACCGAAATAAAACTGAAGGAAAACACAAAGAGTGGCTGATGTTAATACCAATAATGTACGACAATGAATATCACAAGTGGCCCCGGCATATGCATAAAAAAAACACGCTACGACACCTCATCACCAACACCAAAGAAGAAGAAGTGAAACAAAATACAACTGAAAAAAAAAACATTAAATAAAAAAGCAGCATCATATCGAACCAATGACGAAAACTAACGCGTAAACTTACCAAATATTCACTCCAGTATGCATTATGAGAGGTTTATGGTAATTGGAGGAAACAATTCAAAGGAAACTGCAACTCGTATGTGATGCTGTGAAAGAGGATGGTGGCATCACAAAGTCATGTTAACAGACGTATACATTGACGCGCAACACGAATGTAACAAATGGAGAAAAACACACTGACAAATTGATTAAAAATAGCGTCTTCTTCAGATTATTTATTAACACTGCAGCTTCGACAGAAATCACATTTTATGGCTTTTGTTCATCAAGACTTCTGAATATCAGATGCTGAACTGCTGTCTCGGGATAAAATGAAAGGTTTTGTAGAAAACAAGAAAATAATGAAAATACTTGATAAATTTTGCCAAGCAAATGGAAATAGATGGAATGATAGCCGTCATTAAAAAGTCTCAATAAGGCCAAAAAAAAAAATAAGTCGGTCTCTGGTCAGCGCGCGCGTCGATCTTTTTTTTTCCAAAATGTTCCGCGGTAGCTCCAACAGCGCCCTCTATTTCCGCACCTCCTCAATTTTTTTTACCAAAGAGCACCAAGGAATGGGAAATTGCACCAAGGCAAATGATCGAAAGCACCAAGGCAAATTATGGAGGACACCAATGTACTTGAGGACACCAAACAAGCAAAATAGTACCTACCTTGTCTGTACAATCCGAGCTTGAAGAAAAAAAAAGAAAAAAAAAAAAAAAAAGCCGCGTGGCCGCGTCAATTCCGGAACTTTGGTCTGACCAGAGACCGAATATTTTTTTTTTTTTGGCCTAACAGTGGGGACGGCAAATAGCATTGGAAAGATGAACAGTTGAAAAGGAAAGTGGACACAAGTTATGTGGAAATCGTATTTCACTCGTTGTTGTGCGCATTATACTTGCTGACCAAACTTGATTAGCCCAAAAAGAAATCGATTGAAAATGTTCTCTTCTTGTGATAAGCTTATGCACATACTTCGGAACTCGTTACTTAGCACGTTCAGTTTTGGTAAGCCGATTTTCGGGTTAGCAGTAATTTTCTGTATAATCAGGGATTGCATGCAATGTTTGCGTTACTCAAATACTTTTCGGATGGTTAAAATTGGCAGTAGTTAACGCAAAATTGTTAAAATACCAATCTTTACAAATATGTTATTTCAAGAATGCTATCTATAACTACTGTGCGTGTTTGCTTGAACGGGGATATTTTTACAGGAATTAGAAAAGCGATTACAAATACCAAACAAAAAAAGTGACTTTTGTGTTTTTTCACTACTCATACAGTGTATAAGCAAACCTCATCAGTGTTTATAAGGCTTTGTTAAAATGTGATAAAAATAGCACATTATCGTGGCAGATATACACAATAACTGCTAACACACATTGACAGATTTTCCAAAAATAGTACGTGCCCTCGTAAAAATGCAACAAGGGAAACAAGTTATTTAGGCAAACATTTGTAACTATATCAATGAATATTATCTGCCCGGTAACAAAACGTCTCTCCCATAAAAACAAGCTGTGGTGATCAGTAATGTTATTTTAATGGCCGAATAACCTCGTCTAGGTAGAGGGCGCACTCCATACTGATGATTACCTAAAGACGGACAAAGAGGGCGCACTCTTATGTAATCAATGTTCCTTTATGGTTCTCATAGGTACGGTGACGTCCTCGATATGCCGATGTCCGACAACTGCATTGAAAGAAACAAACATTAATTTTGTTTGTATTTTGATTTTTAAAGTGAAGGTTTTGCATGCCGTGGATAAAGAAGGAAGCGTACCAAAGCAAAGGGGCGAGGATAATGGGTTCTATGGCTAGCTTTCTACATATAGGCAAGCCTCAAAATAATTGTGTTCACGTTAAGCACAAGTTTATATTGGCGTTAGAACAGATTTCACTTCTATTTACAAAGCAGCACCATGCAGAAGTGGGGTTCAACCGTCATGGACCCATCGAATGTGACTGCGCAGAGGCACCCCAAACTATGGAGCACCTCCTAAACTTCCCCCTCCGTATAGCCATGCAAACCAGAGGATCTCAAGGATTTCAACCCGTGCCAGAACCTGTGTTATGCAGTGGCTAGGAAATTGTAGCGACATGACAACAACAACCACCATCCAATTTGGCCCTATTAGTTGTGGGCTTCATTTCCATGTAATGTGAAAATGCAAATCAATGCTGTTAATGTTGGACACTTTGCTGACGTGCACATATTCCACAGTTTTGAAAAGGTAAAGACAGCAAATAAAAAGCGATCAAAAATAACTGTACTCGATTCATTCTGAAACTTTAAATCAAAGAGCATGGAATGTCAGTGAATAAGCTTAAATCTTCACTTTAACGTTCACAGCTGGACAAATAAAGCGCCCCTCTAGATGCTATTCATGGGTCATCTATACGTCTGTTCGTGAAGGCATGCTGGACATTTGAGTGACATTGCCCGCCCTGGTGGTGCTCGGACCTGCCACAGACGATGAACCCTGGGTGCCACCTGTCGCCCCTCCCCGCCCGTTGCCGTGCCGATCCCCGCCGGCCTTCTTGAAGCAACGATGGAACGCCTTCCGGAAGCTTTTCCTGAAGTTCTCTCCGAGAAAGGCGTAGATGAAGGGGTTGGCGCACGAGTTGGCGTAGCTCAGCACAAAGCCGGCCGTTCGGAGGTGCAAGGTGGTGTCCGTGCGCTTGAAGGTGGGGCCGAAATACTCCCAGAGGGAGTAGAACTGTGTGGGGAACCAGCACACAGCGAAGACTATGACCACAGTCAAGACCATCCAGGTGATCTTGCGCTTCTGCCGTAGGTTGCGCTCGGCGTTGGCAGCGTTGGCCGGGCCGCTTATGGCGTCCGAAGGCGCCACCCGCTGCCACAGGTGGCGCAACATGGCAGAGTAGCAGACGGCGATCACCGTCAGGGGGAGTGCGTACGGAAACAAGAATGTCATGACCTTGTACACGTCGCTGACAGTCTGGCTTGGCCAATTGATAAGGCAGTAGGGGTTGACAGCACCGCCCCAATTGATGTATTGGATCTCGAAGTAAAGTGGATATGGAATGTACAGCAGAAAAGCAGCTGAGGAGAAAAATGAGAAAAATTATGGCAATTTTAAAGTTAGTTTGTTTCTGCCATTATTACAAGATTCTTTTCCAGTCAATACTTTTTACAGAGTTTTAAAACTTGAGCTTACAAATATATACGGCAGTATTAGATCAAGCAATTAATAATCGCGTACGTTATTTCTACGTGTATTGTCCTTATTACAGGTATAAGATACACAAACAACTTACAAAGCCATATAAAGAGGCTTGTGATGACGGCCGTCTGCAAGGTGCGGGTTTTCAGGGACTTAAGGGGTCTGACAATGGCCTGGAAGCGGTCCATGCTCATAGCTGCCAGTAGGCAACACGTCGAGTGCGAGGTGACCTGGGAATTACCAAAAAAAAGACACCTTAAGTTTCTCTCTTTTGGGGGGTAAAACTTAGCATTATAAAAATGATTATGGAAAATGAAGGGACCAAAACCTTATGGAATGAGTGCGCCCTCTTGTGACTTCTGGTCATCGACCCATTAATGATTAATATATCGCAGTAGAATCACATCAATACTGCTTGTCAACTATTTAATAGAGTTGTCTAAGGGGTGTGGCCAAATCACAAACGGCGATAGGTCAATTGGCAAACACCGCCCTATCCAAGTGCCCTGTCTTTACTATGCCTCTTACATTATTCACAAGCGAGAGCAGAGTTCTAACAGGGGTCAATTCACCATCTCATGTCATCCGACTTTCACACGGGCTATCCGCGTGATAGCCTAATGCGCTTGCGTAATGAATAGTAACCGTGCAATAGTCTGCTGCGCTTGCATGTTACGATGTTCGCGCGTGCCACTACCCGTGCACATGCGCGAACATCGACCTAACAAGCCACATAAAATGATGGCGGCAAATGTAAAGGAGCATTTTGCCAAAATTACTGTAGCGTAGCTCGACGAAATTATGGTGCATGTAGGCCTATGAGGTATAGTAAAACAAAATAACATGGAGTGTATGTCGGTGCGGTGGATAGTCGATATACTAGCTCACCTCGGCATTGGAAGTCGTCAAACTAGCTATCTCGGCTTCGCTTTGGGAGCTGGTTTGTCTACCGATATCTTGGGAGCTAGTTTTGTTTTACAAGTGATACTTCCGTAAGTTCCGTGTGCGCACGGAATGCAGCGCGTTGATTTGGCAGCAAGCTACGAAATAGGCATATTTCTGAGCGAGTGAGGGCAATGTGACGACAATAATTGAATACAAGGATGTTGACGTACATTTACACGCTAGTATAACTCCTAAATTTCACAACTCTTAACTTATGGAGAGGAGTTGGGTTCAATGAATGCGAGTGTCTACCGCTTGTTCCCAGCAAAGTACATCAGTACAGCGCCTCATTCTTTTAAAATATGTCATTTTTGGAACAAACAAAAAAGATCTTTACGTATTGCATGTACAAAACGATTTTGCACATGAACCCGCCGAAGTGGAAGCCAGTGGCAGAATAGTCTTCGGCCGTCTTGGGCGCGCAGAAGACCAGAAACAAGATGTCGGCAACAGCCAGATTGAAGATGTAGTAGTTGGTGACGGTACGCTGGCTGGCTCGTACGATGACGAAGATGACCAGTAAGTTACCAACCACTCCAACGAGTACCATTATTCCTGGCGGGAAGAAAGACATAACAATTAGGTTCGACGACAGTATCACGGGCGCCGTTTGAAATAAATATTTTCTGCAGATTGAGGCGAATCGGTTGCTATATACACTCAATACAAAATCACCCAAACCACCAGTCCATCATAACTCACATTGTCCCAAGTTAAGTCATAAGCTATTCTTATGACAAAGGCATTCCTTATCGTGGCGTGAGCTCGACTATACAACACTGGTATACAAACACAATTTTAAACATTTTAGCAAAAAGAATTGCTGAAAGCTGTACAACGTGTTGACAACATGCACACGGGTTCACTAACATTCACGTTGTATATTCTACCATTCACGGCGTATACATGTACATCACAAGCTCTATAAGGTATCAAGCTAACATGCAGAACACCTACACCCTTCGGCAAAAGAACTCAAGAATTGAAGTGGCTGTTTCTGATTCTAAGCTCCAAAAATCACACCCCGCCTAAAAATTCCAATGGACTGTTATACAAACCAAAGAATTTAGATTTTAGGATTTCTCTTCAACGGAAAGCTGAACATTTTACTGTTCAACCCCGGAAACAACGTCAGAACATCGAACTTACCAAGAATGACCGGCATGAGCCATACGGGGTAGGGGAACAGACTGGCTGAACCCCCGCCACCCCCACCTGATGACGGCTCGGTCGTGTTCAACTCCTCGGTGTAGTTCTCCATCGTAGTCAGTTCGAGGAGCAGGCCCGATACCACCGTGGTCGTCATCTTGTTTTTTATCCCCGCCAAATTGTCAGACGTAATTGAGATTGACGCCCGAACGCGAAGACGGCCCAATCGCGAACGGACACCACATGCAAAGGTGTCGGGAGATCGGAGCGGTCAATCTTTAGAAAGGTAAAAAATAACTTTACGTTTAGACTGAATTGTAGCACACTCATTAAGTGTGCACTCTGCATGTCAAGAACAGAGATCACTTGGTAAAAACCATGCAAGATAAGGCTGCTGCCGTTTATAAAGTACACGAGGCATATACATTCACAAGGTGGACGTTTAATCAGGCAGACCTATTTTCCTACGCGGGTTGGGTTTGATCTATTCAATGTTCCATTAGCCATGGAATGAAAAACGCCATCTCGCATTGCCAAGCGTGGAGCCGTAACATGCGTCGCATGCTCACATCGCGTGTACCAGACCCTCCGTCACAACATGCAATACATCTTCATTAGCTTTTCAATTCGCGCGTGATTCAACAGTAACAAACCAAAACTGAAGAACATTACACGCAAATTTCTGCGCGTGATCCTCCGATGACCAGCACTTATGAGCCACAAAAAAAACCTTGACTTTTCCGGTTATAATATTTGAACAATTTGTGATTCTTTAGATCAAAATGAAAATTTTTAAGGTCAATATAGCATGCTCGATTAGAGACTCGTATACGGTAAGACTTCCCTTGAAAAGCAGGGTAACTACACGATCGGCATGCAACAGCCTTGCAGCGAGCCAAAAAAACTGGGGCGCCGGATTCTGATCCGAATTGGGTGAATGTCAAATTAATGATCGTCCCACACGCAAATTATGGCAAGTCGGTGGTGGGGAGTCGCTGTACTTTTCGCAGATAGGGGTGGGTTCCGAAGGTTGGTATTTTTAAGCGAAAGAGGGCGCTACAACGACCAAGTTGTGGGTACCATGCACAACCTTTTTTAATTTTTTAAAGATTTCGTAAATTGACTTCCATCTAAAAATTGAAGGTTGTTACAAAATGTATTTTTGCTTTATTAACAATTGTAAACGTATCTAATCTTGGATTCACGTATCTTGGATTCACGTCACTAATCTTGGATTCACGTATGTGAATCCCAAAACAGCGCCCCCTCGCCACCTCGCCCCCCCCCCGCCCCCCATTCGCTCAAAAAAATAAGGCTCATTCGTGAATAGACCTTTCTTCTGTTTGTAATGCAATGCAATGACACGTACGATCGCGAACGTGTGCACGCGTGTTTGTAATCCAAGATGGCCGGGGAAAAAAACGAATTGGTGTCATCAAATATCACCATACTGCCGTTTCATTGTAAGACCAAAACAATCCTCGGTATTTTTGGTGGTGTTTTCTTTATACCTCCGTAATGAATTTGCTGAATTATGCAAAAGATCCAGCCCTCCGACTCAGCACAAGATCATTTCACCTGAGGGCTATAACGTGATCCGCACAAACACCAAAACAAGTTGACGTTACTTGCAGCATAATGAGGACCTTTTTTGGTTGACGGGCCGGTGTCGGGTTTTACCGGGCGCCGTCGGCGGAGAGACTCCGGCCACATCGGTGGAGCTCGAGAGCTCGCTGCCGGAAAATCCTCCGCGTGGCCACGGTGTTGGATGAACCCTTCTAGTTCGAGCCGTCGATCAGACGGGTGTGCATTGACCAATTAGATCGCGACTCTCTGTTCAGGTGACCACGGCAGCTGGGTCAAACTCGGTCATAAAATGCACAAGAGCCAAAGGGGGCGGGGCTTATGGCCAACTCCGGGAGGGACCATTGAGACGCATACGATGGTACTTCGACTTTCAACTTTGAAATGGAATCTGGCACTTTCTGGGCGGCCAGTGACCGAAAGGTACGGTTGCAGTGTAAGTTGTAAATAATAATGCACTGGTTTCAATTCTTATTCTTAGAATTAAATTCATCCAAAGATTGAGATGTTCAGGAAAACCCCTTGCGTGTGAAACAAGTGACATTTTAACTGTATGAAAGAATCTATATCAATTGCCACAGTAGAGACAGAACAACAATCCTGTGTTTTTCTTCTTTAAGATGTTTTTATTAACGACATACATTTCGTGAACTAGTTTACTGTAGGCCTACGTCACTTCTTGTTACAATCTCTGCTACACTTTTTTTATCACCAATGGCAAGATTGTCTACATTTTGTACTCCTCTATGAAAAAAAAAGAAAATCACGATGCAGACATTTCAAAGTGTTTGATACGTCGAGATTACATTGTGCACATCTTACTTCTAGGCCTGCGAGCAAGACTGCCCGGAACCTGCCACGTGCTTGACATCTTGATTTGTTCCCATTCAAGTCGATCTTCCTAAGCGGAGGGTTCGTCACGTTTGTCCCCGTTCGGATCTCTCTTTCATGATACCCGCGGTCTGCCGGCCCGGGGATATTTTCACGTCGTGCGCACGAGCGAGTGATCAACGGGGCTCGAGTGAATTCCTGACAGCAAAAGCCACGCGCTTACCAGGGACAGTTTTCAGAATGTGACTGACGCAACAGCCGCAAGGTAATGCAGCAGCCGTCGGGTGTAGAACAAACCACCGTCTCTTTACAATCTCCATCAATTATACACCACGCGTGAAAGCGCGTCCCATATGAACGACTTGTTAACAGGCTAATCGGTCGCTGCTCTTAACGTTTCGCTATGAGCTTGGTCACCACCGTTCAAAATGTAGGCCTTGCGCGATCCCCCTGGAATGCTGGCTTTATTTATGCAGTCAGTATAGTCAGCACACTTTTCAGTGTAGCTAACCAAAATCAACAATAACATCATTTGACCCCTAGATGACCTTTGACCTCAAATGTCTGAAGTCATCTTAAGTCCCCCTACTCAAAGACTATTGTCACCAAGTTTGGTTGAGAGTGAAGTCTGATTTTTCATATGACATCACTTTTTAGTTGAACTAACCAAAAACAACTATGGCCTCATTAAATGAACCCTAGATGACCTGTGACCTCAAAATATGTCTGAAGACATCTGAAGTCCCCCTACCCAAAGATTGTTGTCACCAAGTTTGGTTGAGATTGAAGTCTGACATTTCATATGACAGCACTAAACAGTTATATATGACTTATATATGAAGTTATATATATGAAGTTATATATGAAGCTTTGCATGGCGGATGAGATAACATAGAAAGATTACGGGTAACACCATGTGGAAAGTAATCTCTTCTTGGAAGAAGTGCGGTTCTGAAAAGAACCGGTTGGTTGCGTGTAGAAAACTCGACGTTTTGGACAGTGTGCTCTGTCCGTCACTCACCCTCCTGAGGACGGACAGAGCACATTGTCCGAAACGTCGAGTACTTGACTAAACAGTTAACCTAACCAAAATGGAACACAGGGACACACGGACACACAGAAGGAAAACACTGTCGCAATATCTCCCATTCTAGGCTTAAAAGCCAGGGGCTAAAAAGTCGTTTAGGTAATCTCCATGGATATCCCCAACCCTGCACCTGAACCTCTCCAGCCGTAGGCTGTTTCCTGCAATTAAGACTTAATCACCAGGAAACGGCACAGTGGCAGAAAAACTGAGGACACACTTTATCGCAGTTATCAGCTGTACATAGCGTGCGCTATCAAACCGTTCCGTTTGCCATTTCGGCCACTGTTAACCTTTGGTAATTCATTGTAATGGGCCCTGCCGGCGCTCCCCACAGATTACGAAGCCTGTGTACGGCGGTCATACTCTACCAAAAACTGCTTTTTAACTCAATTTGGTAGCGCTTCTCAAACATACCAAATTGCAGGAAAATTCAATTAGAATTTTCCCGCGAGAGAATAATACAGTAGACTGTGGTATTTCTCTTACAATTAGCGCACGGTGCTGTGTACTTTAACATTACCTATTTTTCCTCTCATATTAGAAATTATATCGTGCAGAGAATATGTAAATGGGTCAATCTACAAATTTGAGGTCCCTTTTTTCTGTCCACTTTTTCTCTGTCCTTGGTGCGTCTGACATCTATGATTTTATAATGATGCATTCATTAATGCACTTAATCAAACTCCTAGCAGGAGATAAAGGCTTAAGTGGGCAAGACATCAAAACTTGTAAAATGGATAGAGTGGTTTGGAGAGCTATCACTGTAGTCTGACCTTCAGAGTCGCCATGATGATGATGATTCATTAATGCAGTCATCCTCCAAGAGTTATTATGAAAAGTAAACTACCCACCCAACAAATTAAAGTTCGTTCTTTTAGTGATACTTGAATGGCAATTACAAAGTAGCAAGGTAACAGGGACAAGAAACATGTTTCACTTTGGACCCTAAATTAATAGAGCGACCCATTTTGATTGTCAGTGGGAAAACGAATGTTATTTCTCCTGTATTGCCTTGTTTTATTCGAGGTCGTCTCCTGTATCACCCTTTACCAAAAGAAAACGGCGACCTAAATGGGAAGTCGGGCACAGGCCTGACGGTGCAAGATAAACAAGGCCAACCATCATGTAAATAGAGCATTCATAAGTAAGGGCAGTTTACCCAGTCCTATTGGTCGAGAGCCCGTCAAGTGGCTGGTTTTAAACGGTTGATAAAGACCGGCTGGCAAGTTTGAAACACTTTTCCAGTGTCACATAAAATTTGGACTCCTATCAAAATCCGGTGCCAGTACTGACCGTTTGGTTAGTTGAACTTTCACAATCCTCACGTATGTGTATGCGCAGTACTACCAGCAAGTCAGTATTTCATAGTTGTAAGTTCACGCTTCACCGGCACAGCTGGGTTATAAGCCACATCACGCAGTACGCGCGACGCGCGCGTCAATCTCCATATAAGGAGTTGTTTACGATTTCTCACGGGAAGGCCATACCATAGCATGGCTAGAGAGGTGTTTCGAAAAACATGAAGTAAAATTGCTAAACAAAATCGTTGAAAATTTAGAATTTGTGACTTGTTTTGACTTTTGGACCGAAAGGTTTTGATTTTTTGACCGAAAGGGTATTCATGAATAGGAATAAATATGTGCTTGGCCGGTAGTAAACACTGTGTTTAAGACCAGTTGAAGTCTGGATGCTGATAATTACCTTCGCCTACGGCTCGGGGAATTATCGGCATCCCGACTCCAACCGGTCTTATTCATAGTGTTTAAAACC